TTTGCTTATTGGTGATTTGGTAAATGGTAAATGCTTTAGATTAGGTTAATTTTGTCAACCACGGGGTCATGCATTTCCAAAAAAATTTGTCGGGAGTAAAGGAAGACGCTTTTGTCCGACTTGGTTTGATCAATATGCTAATTGGTTGGAGTATAGTGCCCCCTACGATATATTTTTCTGCGTCCGCCACTGATGACGGGTGTCCTAATCTATGCCAAGGATCGAGAATCTTCGTGGTAAGAGACATGACAACTACCGATAATCATGCCCGGTAGTAAATGAGGGTGGTGACTCTTATTCAAGGGGTCGTTTACCAAACACTTACCGGTAACATTCAAAACTATCATTATTTACCGGGTAAGATTTTAGTCAACAAAAACGGTTTTATATGCAACAATTTACCCGGTATGAGCTGGCCGTGAAAATATTCATCGTCTTCACTTATCGGATAAGATTCTCGGTCCTTGTCTCTCTCTTAGTGCGTAAGATTTTTGATCTTTGTCATATCCATCTTGTAAGGTAATGTAACTTGATAAACGCTTACCCGAGTAAGTATTTGGTAAATGACCCCTAAGTCTTTAGATAAATTTTTAAATATTTAGACATTCTAAACCTGTTAAATAACTTATTTAATTTTTAAAACTTGTTAGATACATAGAGTTTATTTTTAGATTAAAAAAATCCTTAAAAAAATTTTGTTTTCCAAGTTAAAAATCGAGTTTATATAAATATATAGGACATTTACATAAACTCAAGTTAAAATAAAATTTTAATTAATAAAATAACTAAAAAATGAATTTGTCGGAGATATTTACTATTTTAGTCGATTTATCATAGTATCCCCAACGATATTTTTTTCTATGATGTGGATATATGTTTTTATTAGTTTGTCTTTAAAAAAAAAATTCAACCGATCATGTCTTTTTATTGTAGTTTTATTAACGAGCTGAGTTCTTAATGTAACCATATAGACCCATATAGTTGATTTATTTATGAGCGAAACTCGTTAAAAAACTGCAACTACATGATGCAACTCGTTAAAAAACTGCAACTACATGATGCAACTCGTTAAAAAGACGATCACAAGAACATGTATCGTTGAATCTTTAAAAATGACAAGGATTCTTTTAAAAACACCTAAACATTGGGAAAAAAAAACATATAATTTTTTATGAGGATATAATGTGATTATTTCTTCCAAATTAAAAAATTATACGTTGAAAATTGAAAATTATTAATTAATCTAAATGTATTTAATACATCTCATTTATAGCACGACATGGATAGAGTTGTATAAAATAGTCGGGGATCAGAGCTTGGTGCGAGTCTAATTCCAGGCCAAGCTCGAAAGCCTAATCAAACTTAATATTTTCTTAGAGTCTTGTTGAAGCCTGGTTCGAAGAAGTCTAAATAAAACTCAAAAACTGTTGAAAGTCGGCTCGATCCAATGTTAGAAAAAACCGAGTCCTACTAGTTGTTATATCGATTAAGACTTTAAATAACACAAAACGCAACTTTCAACAAAGTAATTGCTTTTTTTGTTCTTCTTGAGGCTATTTTATCGATTATCTTTTATCTTTATAACTAGTCAAAGGTATTATAGAAAGTGTGTGTGTTATGTATTTTAAATTTAATATCAAAGCTCTTAAATTCTCTCAAGTCTCGACATATTTTTTTTAGGAAACAATAATAAAATAAAGACTCAGTTCTCAAATTCTATAAAGTTTTGATTCTCAACCACTTCGTTCAAATAGGTTGAGTATCCTCTCATAGCACATTTTGTAAAAATATCCGAATGGGATGAAGAAAACGAAGTTTTATTTGTTAACCGTATGTATCCAGGCTAGCTTACACACAACTCAATTAATCTCAAATAGGGGTGACAATTTTGTACCAAAACAAACCAACGAATATTTGCAACCACACCAATTAAATCAATACCAACTAAAGTCGGTTGGTAGCACTATACCAAGTATGCAAACTTGGTTGGTACATGGTGTTGGAAATTGCTTACCATGGTACCGATTTATTTAATCATTAATTAATTTTTGTGTTTTTTTATATATTTAATATAAACATTATAATTTTAACTACTTTATTTAAACATTCGAACATTTTTAACTTTTATTTCTTACAATTAAAACCCCTTAAACATCAAGTGTCACCTGGAAACTCAATTAAAATACGAACAAAATGACAAATTTTCATCTATGTAGCTTGAAGTTGGTACAAAACCAATATCAATAGGTACCAACCGAAAAAAAAAATCGTACTATTTAAGTTGGTAGTTGGTTGGTACATGGTATTGGTGAAAAAACTCGGTGCCGTACCAATTCCACCCCTAATATAGGGCCTTTGGCCCTAGAGAACAACTAGGAGGACTCCGACCTAAGAAAAATCCCCAAAGGCCCAAGTTTTATTATAAGTTAAGCTAACCCCAAAAAATTAACGGAAGAGTATGGTGGCTTATTTTACTCACAAAACAAGCCAGAAATAGTAATTGAAGCCATATACACAATAATACCATGCTTTTGTTCACAACAGAGTAGAATATTCAATACACAAGAACCAATATTCCCCCTTCCCTTTTCTAAATTATACAATCTTTTGCAATAAATTGCAAGAAAAACGTACAAATAAAGTTTGGGAACACATTTGCCCTTCAAAAAGCGATGTTTGCACTTCATAAACAGAGTGCAAAGATCACTTTTTGAAATGCATATAACATTTTCTAACAGTTACAAAGTGATAGAAACATACCATACAAATTTACATTCACGTACCTTTTTCTCCATGCTTTTGTAACCTTCTTTTTATGCTGCCATGTTTCAATTGAACATGAGGAATGATCTAATCTTTGATAGTAAAGGGTAAGGGTTTGCTGGTTTATCTACATAAGTAACTGGGTGAAGTGGGATCTCTCTATCCTCAGGGGTCCCAATGCCAATGGTGCTTGCAGATGATGCCAAACACCTCAGGCAAGCTTTCGGCAAAGTCGGCCCCTTGTATGCTCTGCAGATATTCGTTATAATGTAAACGTAGTCCTGAAACAAGAAAACAATGAGTCTTTTAGAGTCCCATATCGGTTAGATTTTGACCAATTCTCCTAAATACATTGGAACCTCCAGTTACTCCTTGAGGAACTCTTTTGGAGGGTAACGTGGGATTCCATATATTCTCATGATGTCAACCCTAACATTGTGTCATCGGAACCTATTTTTTTAAGAAAAGAGAAAGGAAATGGAGGGAAAATATCATTTATGTTTCATCCCAAAGGTGGGAAGAAAGGGAACGAAAGAAAATCCGAAAGAAGATTGTAATCCTAAAATGACAAAAATACCCTCATAAGAGAAAGAATAATATAAAAGGTATTCTGTATTTGTAAAATTGACATCTTTCCTTTACTTTCTTGATTTGGATTGGTTCGGTCCATTCCTTTCCTTTTCAAAAACACAAGTAAAGAACTCTTCCCTTTACTTTCTTGTCCTTTCTTTTCTTTTTTTCTCTTCCCAAAATTTGAGAAGTTTGCAATGTAAGCATTAGCGATTGAGCTCAAGAAAAGGATTGAGGGTTTTGAGGCCAGAGCTAAAAGAAACTAACATCATAAAGTGGTTTGCCATCCACAACAACCCATGGCACGTATTTTTTCGGTGGTTGAAGAGCATTTGTCTCGGCTGCATATTGTAGTTCAAGCTGCATGATGTAAACTCAAATTAAGTACCATAGGTGGATTCTAACTTTTAAGTTCTCAAATTGATTGCCTGTTTATGCGAATCAAGAAAACTTTACCTGGTTTCCATATCCGCTAGTGTAGCAATCCTTCACGGGTTTTGGATCCAAACTCAGTTCCTCAAAGCATGATTCCCACTTGTCGAACTTGTCATAATAGAGGTATCTTTCAACGCAAAAGATGAAAGGGAAGTGATCATGCTGCATATATACAGATTGCATGCCTTAGAAAGTTTGGGAAATGGTCTGATCCTAATTGAACTTTTAGCAATATATTTTGATTTATTATGTTTGCAGCCTTGCAGGCGTCGTCACACTGGCCCACACTTTAGAACAAAACAAAAATGAAAAAAGAAAATTGCAAACATCCAAGTTTGTGGGATATGCCAAAATCTCTGGATCACTTGAATAACATCCAATAAAAGAAGTGCGCATGAGCAACCAAAGGGATTATTTCAGTGACAAATATAATTCAACCACAAGCAAGAAATCTAACTGGACCCTATCAATATTCTCTCGCGGTTCAAATATGTTTGGGGATTCCAAATTCATGGTTTAGGAGGAGGACAAAACCAGTGAAAAATCTGAATCAGAAGAGATTCAAATCATCTATTTAGTGACAAATTTTGGGTACTATGGCCTACCCTTCAATCTTCATCGATCAATTATCAGCCCTATAAAGTATACATACATGATGCTCGATATGTTCAACAAGGAAACTAAATTTCTACAAAAATATTTAGCCAAAATCAAGTGATACACCATATATCTCATTAAGATCAACGCAAAAAGCTAAAACCTTACCACATCAGGCCAAGTATTGATTGCACAGGCTTCCACAGTGTTAAGCAAGCATTCTTGCTCCCCATGCTGTAACAAAAACACATACAAATATTGGATTAGAGACCTACTTAAAACATGATGATCACGATGAGAAAACGAAAACGGTGGAAGCAAAACCAGATCTGGATTAATTAGTAAGGGAAAAACCTGGCAAGTGATGTTGCCGTTGGAATTGACCTTCGCGTTTCCATAAGGAAACAGTTTTACATCGGCGATGGCATCAATTCCTTCGGTGAACACATCTATCAGATAATTGACGATGAAATTCTCACAGTACGGACAGAGCGATTCGTAGTAGAAAGTTACTTGGACCTTCTCCACTTCTTTCAGAGGAACGATCTCTACAGATTCAGATGATGAGGAACAAGTATTGAGTGAAAATAAGCAGATGATGAAGATGAAGAAAAGGCGAGCTTCCATGGTTGAAAATTTGTGGAGCTTCGATTTCAACGGTTTCAATAGCTTAGTGATGTGAGTGGTAGTTATAAGGAAAGAAGGAATACTGATATTTTGGGTACTTAGGGAAGTTTTACAACTTTAGTCCCCCATTTTACATTATTGTTCTCAAAATGTCTCTTTGTACAAATTTTATAATCTTTTGGTCCAACGATACTATCAGAGCTATCATCGACTTTAAGGTGTTGTTTGTTCTTTGTTTTTGCCCTCACTTACGGGGTATGACTCTTGGTTATTGTCTCGTTCTTACCGGGTAAGATTTTTAATTATTACCATATTCATTCGATAAGGTAAAATGATTTGGTGTTTACTTACCAGAGTAAGCATTTGGTAAACGGCTCCTTAGTGATTTTGCTTTCAGACTTCAACACTATCTCTTATCAATAAAAACTTAACATTTGTACATTTGTGTCATTTTTTATATTTACTATATTTTTGTACTTGCTTTTGTTTATACCGTGTTACTTGTTTTTAACTCATTCTTCTCAAATTTTGCCATTTCTTTTCTCCTTGTCAGTGGCGGATCCAAGATTTTTACCTAGTGAGGTCATATTTAAGGTAGATTAAAGGCCTGCAAAGTCGTCCGACGTGTTTTTAATCTAATTATAAGGTTTTGAGGGATTTCGAGGGATTTTTTAGTGTTATTGTCGATTTCAAAGGACTTTTTCGGTTTTTTGGATTGATTTCAATAGACTTTTTTGGTTTTTTGGTTGATTTCAAGAGACCTTTTTGTAGTTGGTGATGGTCGGCTAGGGTTGTAGGGTCCTTGTAAAAATTTACTGGGAGAAACTAAGAGAAAAGTTATAAAAAAAAAAAAAAAAAACTACTTTTAACCCTTGTAATTTTGTTTTTTAATGGGGTCCCTTCCCCCCACTCCTTCCTAACTAAGAGTCTATTTGATAGTTCCTGAATGGTTTGGTACAGAATAATTAAGTGGTCATAATGATTAAGAGGTTCTCATGATATAGTGCAAAATGAAATATAATTGTTTGCAATGAACTTAGGGCTCTTAATGGTTAAGGAAGACCCATAATACAAGATCATTCAGAGGATTTTAGAACCATTAAGAGACAAACTTTTTTTTACCAAACAAGATTCACCTCTTAACGATTGAGAGGTTGTCTCTTAATGGAACTATTAAGAGGTAAGCAAACAACCTGCAAGTCCGCCACTGCACCTTGTCTTGTGTTCACTAATACTTTTTGCAAATTCTTCAAACTCTTACGACAAATTGTCGTTCTTTTCTACAAACTGAGGGTATTTATAGAAATAACTGCTATAGGTTTTTAGTGTAGTAGACATGGTTGCATACATATCAATCCTAAATCTCATCTCTGTATGGAATATACTGAGCTCAGATGAATTAAAAACATTTGTTAATACATAAAAGAAATTATTTTAAAAATTTGGATATAAATGGAACATATTAAAAAGTGTAGGGGTGTGTTTCGCTTCAGAGGAGAGACACCTCGCTACGCCAGTGAGGAGTTTGCGGTTCTTATTTCGACAGATCCATGCTCACTCAACCTCATCAATTTATATGCACAAATTAAATGAAAATGTATATTATATTATATGAGTATCATTCAAACGAAAACGGTAATTATTTAATAAAACAACAAAAAAGTCGTTAATTGTGATTTTATATTAACGTCAAAAAAATATAAGCGTATGACTTTTTAACATGTATGATTTTATACGTGCGAATATATGTATGTATGTATGTATTATGTATGTATGTATGTATGTATGTATGTATGTATGTATGTATGTATGTATGTATGTGTATGTGTGTGTGACAGTGTGAGTGAGTGTGTGTGTGTATGAATCATATATGAAATTTATACGTGAACCATATATGGTTTTGTACATTAACAATTTTCTCTTGTTTTCTTAAATAATTAGTGTTCTCGTTTAAACCTGTTCATATATTATATTACGTTATATTATTTATATCTATACTATATTATAAAACATTTGGCTAAAACTCTTAAAAACTCTTAAAACTCTTAAACTCTTAAAAACTCTTAAACCCGTTCATCCCTATCCGATTTCATCCCATATCTGAATTCGTGTAACTAACTGCAGATAAACACAATCAAATACAGGATAAACATCTCATTTTAAATATA